GACCCGGACCCCCCTCCCCCCCGGCAACGCAACGCAACGGCAACGCAACGCAACGCAACGCAACGCAACATATGGTGGGCAACAGAAACCAAAGGAAGCCGTTGGAAAATCCTCTGGAATCATTCGGGATCCTTAAGAAAGCCGACGCATTCCCACGAGCCGAAACTATGTGCGCTCCCCCGAGCCGAAACCTACGGGCATGCTATAGAATCCTTAAGGGATGCTATAGAATCCCGAAGAGAAGGCTGCAGAACCCCTGAGGGATGCTATAGAATCCCTAAAAAGGATGCTATAGAATCCCTAAGGAATGCTATAGAATCCCGAAGGGCTGCTACGGAATCCCTACGGGATGTTATGGGATTCCTAAAGGCCGCCATACAATCCATTAGGGCTGCCATAGAATCCCTGAGGGCTGCCACAGAATCCCTAAGGGACGCTATAGAACCCCAAAGGGGTGCTATAGAATCCCTAAGGGCTGCTATAGAATCCTTAAGGGATACTATAGAATCCCTAAGGGATGCTATAGAATCCCTGAGGGCTGCCAGAGAATCCCTGAGGGATGCTATAGAATCCTGTAAGGGATGCTATAGAAGCCCTAAGGGGATGCTATAGAATCCTTTAGGGGATGCTATAGAATCCCTGAGGGGATGCTATATAATCTTTCAGGGATGCTGTAGAATCTCTGAGGGATGCTATAGAATCCTCACAGGTAGACTATAGAATCCCTGAGGGATGCTATTGAATCCCTAAGGGGTGCTACAGAATCCCTAAGGAATGCCATCGAATCCCTGAGGGATGCTATAGAATCCTTAAAGGGATGCTATAGAATCCCTCAGGGGATGCTATAGAATCCCGAAAAGGATGCTATATAATCCTTAACGGGATGCTATAGAACCCTTGAGGGATGCTATAGAAGCCCTGAGGGATGCTATAGAATCCCTGACGGATACTCTAGAATCCATAAGGGCTGTTATTGAATTCCGAAGGGATGCTATAGAATCCCTAGGGGATGCTATTGAATCCCTAAGGGATGCGATAGAATCCCCATGTGTCCCGGCGTGTTGCCCGGCGTCCCTCAGTGGCCTGCCCCAGAGGGGGAGGCGCATGCCCAAATGGCTTGAACCACAAATGAAGAGAGGGAGAGGAGCGTGCCCACGTCAGCCGCAAGGCCACCAGAGCCACGGGAGTCAAATCCGCCGCCGTGCCTCCTGCACGGCAGAGGCGAGTTAGAAGCTGGGCCGGCACGGGAGCGAAAAGAGCTTCCTGTGGGGCCAGGGCCACGATCCTCGAGAGACGTGTGCCGAAATGATGCTTCCATGGGGCTCCGTGTGGGGTCAGGGCCACGATCCTCGAGATAGGTGTGCCGAAACGGAAATTCAATGGGCCTCCCTGTGGGGTCTGTGCCACGATCCTCAAGAGGGGTGTGCCGAAATGATGTTTCGGTGGAGCTCCCTGTGGGGCCAGGGCCACGGTCCTCGAGAGGGGTGTGCCGAAATGAAAATTCGGTGGAGCTCCCTGTGGGACCAGGACGACGATCCTAGAGAGGGGTGTGCCGAAATGAAGTTTCCGTGGAGTTCCCTGTGCGGCCAGGGCCGCGCGATCCTCGAGAGGGGTGTGAAGAAATGAAGCGTGGGTGGAGCTCCCTGTGGGGCAAGGGCCACGATCATCCTTGAGGGGTGTGCCGACATGAAGCTTCGGAGAAACCCTCTGTGAGACCAGGGCCACAATCCTCGAGAAGGGTGTGCCGAAATGAAGTTTCGGAGGAGCCCTCTGAGGCAAGGGCCACGATCCTCGAGAGGGGTGTACCGAAATCAAGTTTCGGAGGAGCTCCCCGTGAGGCCAGAGGCCCTATGGGATTCCTACAAGATTCCGAAAGATGACTCCCATAGGATTCGTAAAAGCTTCCCGCAGGATTCCTATAGAATTCGTAAAGGCCCTTCCTATAAGATTCGCAGGGGCCCTATAAGATTTCCATCGGAATCCCACAGGATCCCTATAGGATTCGTAGAGGCACTCTCGGATTCCTATAATGTTTCTGTAGGAATCCCATTGGCTTCGTAGAAGCCTGATCGGATTCCGATGGGAGTCCTATAGGATATGTGAAGGCCCTCTGGGATTTATATCATATTCCAATAAGAGTCCTATAGGGTTCGTGAAAATCGTGTAGGAATCCGATGAGACTCATATAGGAATCCTATCAGATTCGCAAAGGGCCCTATAGGATTCCTATGGGTTTGCTATAGGATTCCTATAGGAGTCGTAAAGGCCCTAAAAGATTATTATGGGGTTCCCAAAAAGACTCCTATAGGGTTCGTAGAGGCCCTATAGGATTCCTCTGGGGGTCCTATAGGAAGCGGGGAAGCCCTATAAGATTCCCATCGGATTCCTTTAGGATTCCCATAGGATTCGTAAGAGGTCCTATAACAATCCCATAGGATTCCTACGGGGTCCCCATAGGAATCAGGCCCTATAGGATTCCTATGGGATTCCACTTGGATTCCTATACGATCCGTGGAGGCCCTCCAGGATTCCCATAGGAATCCGATCGAATCCTTATAGGATTAGTGAACGCCCTATAGGATTCCTCTGGCATTCCTATTGGATTCCTATAGGCTTCGCAGAGGCCCTATAGGATTCCCAAAGGCTTCCTGTAAGATCCATATATGATTCGTAAAGGCCCTATATGATTTCCAAAGGATTCCTATGGGATTCCCATCGGACTCCTAAAAGCCCGATAGGATTCCCATGGGATTCCTGTGGGATTCCCATAGGAATCCTAAAGACCCTTTTGGTTTCCTACAGGATTCCTATAGGATTCCGATCGGGCTCGTAAAAAGCCCTATGGGATTCCCATAGGATTCCTATGGGATTCCCATAGGATTCGTAAAGGCCCTATAAGATTTCTATGAGATTCCCATGGGGTTCCCATAGGGTTCGTAGAGGCCCTATGGGATTCCTGTGGGATTCCGATCGGGTTCCTATAAGGTTCGCGGAGACCCTGTAGGATTCCCATCGGAAACCGGCAGGATTCGGGGTAACGTGCGTTGCGTTGCGTTGCGTTGCGTTGCGTTGCGCCGGGGGGGGGCCGGCGCCAGTGAGTGGTTTCGTCAACAACATCAACAACAACAACAACAAGAACAACAACAACAACAACAACAACAACAACAACAACAACAACAACAACAACAACAACAACAACAGCAGCAGCAGCAGCAGCAACCACATCAATAAAAACAAAAACAAACACAACAATAATAAAAGCAGCAGCAGCAACAAAAACAGCGACAACAACAAGAACAACAACAACAACAACAACAACAACAACAGCAGCAACAACAACAGCAGCAGCAGCAACCACAAAAAAAAACAATACTTGTGAGACTGATCGCTCCTACCTGATCACGTCCGAATCAATACGAATATCCCAAGCCCTCGGTACCCGCACTCGTCGTCTTGGATCGTACCCCCTTGGGGGCATATCTTCCTTACCTGCCACGTGCATGTAGTGCAGCCCCTGAAACAAGGGAAGAGGAGACGGGTGGAAGGGGGAGGAAGAAGAATGGAACACGAGAGACCTTAGCAGGAGGGGGGCAAGGAGCAGAAAACAAGTGGTAGAACCAGACGGGCAGATCGGTAGGCAGACCCATGGCAGGCAGGTCGGGAAGGCGGGCCTAGGTCGACCAGGTCGAGCAGGCGGGTTGCTGAAGCGTGGGCCCTGCATGAATCATGAGGAGGTCTCGAGCGATAGAGCGATTCCCAAGTAAATCGCGAGAAAGGCAGAAGCAAGAGCGTGAGTCCTGAGTGTCAACGGCGCGGCGCCTGGAGTCAAATTGAAAGAAAGTCCCACGCGAGAGCGCGATTCCTGCATAATGTGTGAGGAAGTCCCGCGCGAGAGCGCGATTTTGACATAACCCGTGAGGAAGTAGAAAGCGGGAGCCGCTGTTGCTGCAAACCGGGAGCAAGGGGGCAGAGTTTGGAGATACCAAACTTTCCTTGATAAACAAACAGGATGCGCGCCCAGGGAGAAGCACTCGAATTGAAAAGATACAATGGTTACCACACGGGGAGATCAACAATATTTTTCTCAAAGAAACCAACATTCAGCAACAACCATTCTTAGGTAATTGCTCCTACCTGGTCGCGTGTCACTCAACATATACATCCCAAACCCCCGACACCTGCCCTCTTCGTCCTCGATTGTACCACCCTTGGGGGTACTTCTTCCTTACCTGCCACCTGTAGTTGACGCAGCCCCTGAAACAGGGGAAGGGAGGGCGGAGGGAAGGGAGAAGGGGGAAAGAGAGAAGGATGGAGCACGAGAGAGGTTTTCAGGAAGGGGGGTAGGAGCAAGAACAAAAATGCGGCTGAACCAGACGGGCGGGTCGGAGGGCGGGCCCCAACGGGCGGGTCGGGCGGGCGGGCCCAGACGGCCAGGTCGAGCGGGCGGGTCGCCGAAGCATCGGGCCCGAAGGGATCGCGAGGAAGTCTCGAGCGACAGCGCGATTCCCAAGAAAATGGTGAAGACGTCCACAGCGAGAGCACGACTCCCGAGCGCCGAGGCCGCGGCGTCTCAGTAAATTGCCGAAGGAGGCACGCGCGAGGGCGCGATTCCTGCACAGTGTGTGGGGAAGTCCCGCGCGAGAGGGAGCGACCTGGAACGCACTGTTGGGGGACATCGGGCGGGGGCTGCTGTGAGTGCAGGCCAAGGCCAGGGGCACGGTCTGGGCCTCCAGACCTCTCCCCCTTTTGAACGAGTATAGGGGGCAAACAAACCTACCTCGTTTTTGACCACCCTCGCTTCCAAGAGATACCAAGCGATGCCAAACTACGGCATGTACTGGTCAGGCCGCTTGACGAGGAGGCGTATGGTATGACTTGGTTTTGCCTGGAAGCGAAAGCGGGGTAGGTAACTCACGCTCTGAGAGTAGGGTGCGAGCCCTGGGAGGAGCCCGCGGCTGGCTACTCGGGCTGCCGGCTCTCGCCGCACATCTGCACAATCTTCAGGCAGGCGTAGAAGTCGTCGCGCAGCTGCCGGTCCTCTGGCTCGCCCCCTCGTCCTCGCCCTCCCTCCCTGCGCGCCCGGCCACATCAACTCCTCCTTCTCCTCCTCGTTCTCCTCCTCCTCCCCCTCCTGAACCCCCATCCGCCTCCTCCTCCTCCGCCTCTCCTCCTCCTCCTCATCGTCCCTCTCACCCTCCTCGTGCTACCTCTCCTCCTCCTCCTCCTCCTCCTCCCCCTCCTCCTCCTCCTCCACCTCCTCCTCCTCGTCCCCCTCTCCTTGCTCGTGCTACGCGTCCTCCTCCGCCTTATCCTCCCCCTCCTCCTGCTCTTCCTCCTTTTCCTCCCGGTAAGAGGGTGCGCGACTCTTGGACTCTCGTCGAGCACCCTCACAGGGACGACACCAGCCATCCTTCCTGCATCCTGCCTCCACCGCTGCTTCCCCATCTTTCTTGGCAACTTTGCTACCCCGGTGCACTGGTTCTCTCCCAGCTCATCCCGCTACCCATTGGTGTTACGATGGGCTTGGACCTATCAGCCCCACCCCGGCGGCTATCCCTCGTGGGCCGAAATTGTCACATTACCAAATGGTCCTTTATTGTCACAATTGCCACAATCCCCCGCGGGCCGACGTTGCTGCCCCCGTGCCCTTGTTCTCTCCCAGCTCATCCCGCTACCACTTTCGGCTGTTACTCTGGGCTTGGGCTTACCGGCGCTGACCTGGCGCCATCCCCCGCAGGCCGAAGCTGCCACTATCCCCAGCGGTCCAGAATCGCCACAACTGCTGCAATCCCCCGCTGGCCGAACTCACTGCAACCCCCCGCGTGTGGAATGGCCACAGTCCCCCGTGAGACGAAAGCGGCGGCGATGGCGCGTCCGCTTGTCTGTTGCCACCAATGGAGGGAGCAGCTGAGTCTACGTTGCCAACTTGAAATTCATGAATTGCTTTGCGATTGTCGCTCGCTTGCCCCGGCTTATCCTCATCGCTTCCTGCCTGCACCGTTTGCTGCCCCGTGCTCCTGTGCCATTTCGCTACACTGGTTTACTGTGCCTTCCCAGCTCATCCTGCTATTCCGCACCAGCGTCGAGACCAACAGATCGCTTCCGGGGTGATGCCAGTTATGATATAACACCCCTAGCAATGCTACCCAGAGAAAAATGGCTCTCTCCCCCCAATGTCTCCGTGTTATTGCCTTCCTTCCCCTTCCTGCCTACGATCCGCCCTATTCTTCTGGCCCGCCCGCCGTAATTACTCCCCCTATCGTGATATCGCGTCGCAGCTCGCTCTCGCCGCGCTGCTCTGCCACAAATGCCAAGGGCCGCTATCACACACCAGCACTGCCGCGCACCGTCTCCGTAACATCTTGAACATGCCGTTGGGTCTCCCCGCAACTAGCCTTATGGAGTCGGCACTGTGCGCCAGTTCAGCGCGCTTGCGCGCAGAATTGGGATGCCGCTACACCGTTTCCCCATTGCGGGGCAAGCTGCAGTGCCAGGCCGCGTAGCCGATAGACTGTCCGCACAAGTGAATGCGTTCCAAGAGTACGCATTGAAACTGTGCTCCCACACACACACACACACACACACACACACACACACACACACACACACACACACACACACACACACACACACACACGTGGCGCGTTTGAGCCTCTGTCTCCCCCGTTTGAAGGGAGCAATGCAGAACATTGCAATCGTTCTGCCGTTTCGTCTTCTCGCTGCCTCTCTCACTGCTGTCTCGCCTTGCTTCGTTCACCCTCACTCTCTCTCTCTCTCTATCTCTATGTCTCCATCTCTCTCTCTCTCTCTCTCTTTGTCTCTCTCTCTCTTTCTCTTTCTCTATTTCTCTCGTTGCCTCTCTCTCTCTCTCTCTCTCTCCCTCTCGCGCTCTCTCTCTCTCTCTCACCCTCGCTCTCTCCATACCGTTTTGTCCCCCCTCCACCCTCCTGGTCCCTCAGGGGTCCCCCTCTGGGGTCCACGTCGGCAGACGGCTCACCGAGCGCCTCCATCATCCACGCCATGCCGCGAGCAGCGGAGCAGCACAGGGCGCCGCCCACGCCAGGTCAGCTACTGCACATCGCAGAAATCGCCCATTCCTATGCTTAGGTCGGGCCTGTCCCCCTACAGGGGGATTTTGGACTAAACATAAAAGATACTCCAAACAGACCCCCAAATGGTAAAACAGAAACAAACAAACAAACAAACCAAAAACGATGGGCGGCTCGCGCCAGAGCGGCGCCCACGTCAGGTCACAGCTGCTGCATTCGCAGATCTCGCCCATCCTCGTGCCGGGCGTCGGGCGTCCCCGACGGGAGGCTCGCGCCCAAACAGGGTCCAGTCAGGTCACTGCTGCAGGAGTTGCAGAGATCACCTGGTCCTGTGTCGGGCGTTCCCGACGGGCGGCTCGCGCCAGAGCGGTGCCCACGTCAGAGCTTGCGTGCCAAATTCGGGATTATGAGTGCACTTGCAGGTGTCAGCGGTTGCCCCATCTTGTCCTCCTCAGCTCCTGCATCAACCTTCCGCTGCCCCGTCCTCCTTGTTATTCCTGTCCGTTCCGTCTTCCTTGCTTCCCTCTTTCGCATCTCCTGCCCTTGCTTCAGTTCTCGTTGCCCCATCGTTATTGGCCATCTGTTGAAGATTGGAAATGGGCACCAACACCAACACCAGCGGCTGCCTCCACGGAAGGAAGACGATCCTGGATGTTGGTGCTCGTGGTAATCTCTCGGCCTCCTAGGAAGCACGAATCTTACCACCATCACCGAGATCGGGATCATCTACCCTCGGTGGAAGCACACCGCCGACATCGGTGTTGGTGTCACAACCTCTAGGCCTCCGAATCTGGCCACCACGTGATCCTGGGCCGCGGGGCTCCCCCCAGGCCCGCTCCGCAGCTTGGACGCCCGAATTATCCGGGATAACTCGGGTCCAGGGTAACTCGGGTCTGGGTTCCCGAAAAACGGACCCGAGTTAGCCCTGACCCGAGTTACCCCTGATGATTCGGGGCTCTGGACGCCCGAAATATCCGGGGTGACTCGGGTCCGGGGTAACTCGGGCTTGGGTTCCCGAAAAACGGACCCGAGTTAGCCCTGACCCGAGTTACCCCTGATGATTCGGGGGTCTGAGGCGTCGCGGGCGGCCGCCCTCCCCACCGCACCCTCCGACCCCTGGCGCCCCTCCGAGAAGTGCAGGCACCGGACCCTGATCTCGCTGTCGAGCTCCAGGCCTCCCGCCGCCCCCGCTGGCGAGCAGGGCCGGACAAGCCGGGCGGCCCGCGTGTCGTGGCTCTCTCGCGAGGAGGAGGGGAGGAGGAGGAGGAGGAGGCGGAGGAGGAGAGGAGGAGGAGGAGAGGAGGAGGAGAGGAGGAGGAGGAGGAGGAGGAGGAGGAGGAAAAACGGAGGAGGAGGAGGAGGAGGAGGCAGGGGATCCGGCCAGGGGTTCTGTGCGGTGGCGGCCGGCCGGGGCTGGGGTGTGCCGCGCCGTGCCGTCGGGCAGCTGGAGGCGTTTCGGTGCGAGAGGGTGCGGGGGAGGGAGGAAATCGGCGGCGAGCGAGGGGCGGCAGGACTTCTCAGAAGCCCTCGCGCGTCGTCGGGGAGAAGACACGGAAAGCTTCTCAGAGGGCCGGGGGACTTCCGAACCTTCTGAGAAGGCCTCCTCCTCGCTCTTCCCCCCCCCTTCGCTCGCCGCCGAGGACAGGCATCGCTGCGGAGGACGGAGGCTGCGATGCCGTGCCGCGCCGTACGGTCAGAGGGTCGGGGAAGAGGGGGCGCGCGGGGTGGCAGAAGAGTGGAGGGCGGCGCCGTCCCGCGCGGGAGCGAAGTGGTCGGAGCCCTGAGCGCAGGGTGCAGCGCAAGGAAGCGGTCGGGGTGGCGAGGGGGCTGCGGCCTCGGGCGGCGGAGGGGGCGCACTGCCTGCGGGGGGAGGGGAAACGTGGCGGGCTGCCGGGAGGGAGGGGGGGACGCCCTGCCTGCCGATGCAGGACGAACGGGGCTGGGGACGAGGGCGGCGGCGCCAGTGCCCTGCCGAAATAAGGGAGACGGAGGTGCAGGAGAACAGCTATCCTCCCATGGCCCCCAGACATCGCGTCCCCACTCTGGACGGACATCCTCCACTGCCACGCGGCCAGAGTTCCCAACCCCATCTCTGCGCGGCGGTTCTCCTGGCTGCACGCAGAAGTGACCCTACAGTCGGTGGAAGAGCGTCGCTATTAGTATGATTCCAACGAGCATGCTAATGTATCGTGGGGCAGCTTGGAAGAAATGTCTCGGGCGCGCACAACACACACACACACACACACTCTCACCCACACAGACACACATACGCGAGCACACGCGCGCACATCCGCCCCCGCTCACGCGCGCGCACGCACTCGCGTGTGCTCAGTCTACCGCATCCACTGACTGACACACATATGCACACACATATACACAAACAAGAAAAACAAACAAACAAACAAACAAACAAACAAACAAACAAACAAACAAACAACCAAACAAACAGAACAAACACACGCGGCGCTGCGACACACCTGGCAGAGCGTATAAGCAAGGGGGGCCCGTTTGAGAGCGCGGCGTGAACACAGTGCTAGCAACCCCACCCTCCGCCGACTTGAGTGCGCGCGGCCTTCGCGCACTTGTCACGGTTGTCGCATCACAGGGCAGTCGCGAGCCAAGCCCGAACCTCAGCCCCCATGAACGCAGACGAACCCGCCTAGTCAAATATCTCAGTCACAGAACAGCCCACTGACTGTGGACAAGAGTGACTGTCGGTGCGGGGCTCGCTGGTCGTTGCAAATCGGGCGACAGCAGAGGCCTGCGTGCTTGGGTTTGGCACCCCCCGCGCCCCCCGAAAGCCGCCAACCAAATGTCGCTCTGGCGAAGGTCACCGAACCACGGCCAGAGCTCCCGGCACAGTCTCGTCGTGGCGTTCTTCCGGCCGGGCAAGTCCGCGAAGGCCGCGGGGACCGAGTACAAACGAGGCAGAGACACCGCCGCGACTTCTTCACGACGCCTGGCTTTACTGCGTTTCAAAAAATCTCCCACGCCTCCAGTCTCCTCCCCCCGCGCTGATGCTCTGCCTGCTGCATCATGCGTTCTCTTCGCAGGGGTGCACTCATCGAGAAGAGATGCGAGCAATTGGACGCGCGTGGTAGGGCAAGGTCGCAGCGGCCTTGCTGGCCAGAAAAGCTGCACTGTCGAAGCAGAGCACCCTAATGGAAGGATGTTGTACGTCCCCTGACACTTCCCTGCACGCGTCCCGCGTCCCCTCACACGTACATCTCGACAGCTTACTGATATAGCGACCCACGTACGACACGCCCCTGGACACGTCCCCTGACTGACACGTCCCCAGGACCCCAGCCCTGGCGCAGAGAATCCGAGACCATGGGATACACAATAACAGCACTGCGCTTGCCCATAGGGCACCGTCGAACACAGAGTGACTCTCTCTCACACACACACAACTTGCTTGCTGCGGCGCTTCTAGACACGTCCTTCGACACGTACCCAGACATGTCCCCTGGCCCGTTCCCAGACGCGCCCCTGGACACCTCACCTTGACACGCCCCCTGGCACGAGGGAGAGGGGGCGAAGGGGAGGAAGAACCAACTTGAAGTGGAGAGGTGCACGAGGGGCCCATCTCCCTTCCCAAGACCTCCAGCTGCGCGTGCGTCTCCTAAGGGCCCGGATGCCATAAGCGCTGCGCCTGCCCTCTGATCAACACATGATACAACGAATGGAATCGACCTGGCACCCGGGCACCCAGACAACGGAATGTGGAAAGACGCTCTTGCTCTCAGCAGAAACCGTCGACCGAAGGTACGAAGAAAAGCTTGCACCCTGGATGGAGCAGCAAGCCCCCATCGAAACCATCGCATCAGGACCACTCGCCCCGAGCGGCGGCGACGGCGACGGCGGCAACGGCGGCAACGGGCGGCACCGCCCGCACAAGCCACCACTCGCCCCGAGCGGCTGCGACGGCGACGGCGACGGCGACGGCGGCGACGGGCGGCACGGCGACGAAAAGCCGGCACTAGTCTCCAGATGGTTCAAACAAATAAGAACCCCTCAAAGCAAGCACTGTTTGGGGGATAGTCGGTACAAAAATAAAAGTAACAATGTTGCTGGAACTAGTAGTAGTGGTAACCGTAGTAATACGAATACGAACACTAGTAGCAGTAATCGTAGTAGTTGTAGCCGTGGTACTTAAGCAATCGTAGTAGAAGTATGAACAACAGCAGTAACGGTACTAGTAGTAGTGGTGGCTGTGGTACGAACAAAAAGAATACTCGTGGCAAAAATTACAATGGTACCAGTAGTAAAAGAAACATCGTGGTGGTAGGACTACAGATATCAATCCTAGTCGTAACAGTCGTTGCAAAAGTAGATGTAACGGTGGCACGAATAAAAGTAGTAGTAGTAGTTTCCACAATCGTTAAAGTAATAGCACTAGTCGCAGTAGTAGTCGTCGTGGTAGTACTAGCAGTAGCAGAATTAATAGTAGTGAGGCCACGAGTAGTCAGAATAATGCATTGGTAGTAATACAACTACTAGTAGTCGTAATCGTAGTAGTGGTCATATTGATGATCGTAGTCATACTTATGGCGCAGGGGGCAAGTAATGATAGCAATCGTAGTAGGAGCAGTACTAGTAGTAGTATTGGTACGAGTAGTACGAATAGAAGTCGTGGTATTCATAGCCGTCATAGCCGTAGCAATAATCGTATGAGTTGTACGAGTGGTGGTGGCAGCAGTCGTAATAGTAGTCGCACTACTGAGAGGTCCCGGATGGAGGCAGGGAGACGAAAGCCCCGCCGTGCCCCGCCGATGCAGCAAGAGCTGAGGTCGGCAAGCTCAGGCACGTGGCGCTTGAAACCGTCGCCCTCCGTTGCCGCCGCGGCGCGGGGACCGCACAGCCCCGGAAACCGCGACAAGCCCTCTTTCCCCCCCTCACCGCACGATGCTGCGGCGCGCGCACCGATTGTAAACGCATCCCTCCTCACCCACCATCTCTATCTCAATCTCCTCCTCCTCCTCCTCCTCCTCCTCCTCCTCCTCCTCCTCCTCCTCCTCTTCCTCCTGCTCCTCCTCCTCCTCCTCCTTCTCTTCCTCCTCCTCCTCCTCCTCAGATTCCTCCTGCTCCTCCTACTGCTCCTGCTCCTCTTGTTCCTCTTGTTCCTCCTCCTCCTCCTCCTCCGCCTCCACCTCCTCCTCCTTCCCCCCCCTTCCTGTTTCCCCCCCTCCTCCTCCTCTTCCTCCCCCTCCTCCTCCTCCTTCCCCTCTTCCTCCTCCACCTCCTCCTTCTCCTCGTCCTCATCCTGATCCTCCATTCCTTGTCCTGAAAAATCGCAAACCGAGGCCAGTCGGAAGGGCGGGCCGGGCGTTTTGCATGAGACGTCCTCACCACTCATGAGCCTGATAAAACTGACGACAGTTTCGCAGATGGAGCGCGGGTCGTTTTTAACATGTGGTTCTCGCCTTAGCGCCGCGTACTTTCGCTTTCGAGTTTGCAAGAGCTAAAGGATTGAGGGCAGGCGGTTTTCAAAATGCGGCTCTCGCCATAGCGCCGCGCACATTTACCTCAAGAAATTGCAAGAGCTTCACGGATTGAGGGCGGGTGGTTTTCAACATGTGGTTCTCGCCTTAGCGTCGCACACCTTCGTTCTAGAAGCTGGCAAGAGTTTAACGGATTAACGGCGGCTCGCATTCGAAATGTGACTCGCCTGAACGCCGCGCGCATTCGCTTTAAAATGTTACAAAAGTTTCACGAATTGAGGGCGGCTCCGTTTCAAAATGTGGCTCTCGCCGTGGCGCCGCGCACATTCGTTTCACACTTTTGCAACATTTCCACTGACTCGCATGGGTAACCTTCCAGAAACGATGTTTTGGACCGGTTCAAGATTGTCAAGGCGCAACCATTACGTTGATTTGCGGTGTTGAAATCCTGGGAAGGTGTTATGTTGCGAATTAGGATCGTCAAGACGTAACAGTCAAGTTGACTCGTGGCGTTGGAGTCCTTAGAACGGTGTTTTGGCACGCGTCACGATTTTCATACGGTTGTCCCCCAACGGTGCACTTCCCTCAGTGGAAATGAACCATTGTAGGGGCCTGTGAAGAGGAAGCTTGGGGGGAGGGTGTATTCCAACTGCGTTGATGAGTCTTGGGTTTGCACTGGTCCTATCATTCCTCCTCATCCTTCTCATTTGGCTCCTGCTCTTCCTTCTCCTCCTCTTCCTCCTCCTCCTCCTCCTCCTCGTCCTCCTCCTCCTCTACATCTTCACTATCAATCCAGATCCTCCTTCACCACATCCTCCTCCAGCATACATGCTGCCCACTGGTCCCGAATATCCCCTCGCAGCCACCTGCGGAAACTGCACTGGGCCCCTGAGGCCCCCTGGCGACCCCCTCCTTTGTCACGGAGCCGATGTCGTGGACGTCCCACCTGCTCTCCGGGTAGAAGGCAGGCTGGAGACTGATCGACTTCATGTCCGAGTCCTGTGCAAGACTCCGCCCCCACCTTCACGAGCAAACGGGGTGGGCTGCGCTACCGGTCTCTCGCACTCCTTCCCCCGCATCCCACCTCCTCGCTCGCCAAGCAGCGGCCCTGGCCCCCCGCGCAACTCTGGAGCGGATGGCCACGGGGGCCAGACGCGTGAGGTGGTATTCACTCGCAGCTGGTCGCTGCATTCGGGCTGCCGAAATATGGAACGATACGCAAGGAACGAAACCCCTTCTCGGCTCCAGAAGCGCCTGCGTGCACGAGGAGGGTTAGAGGAACAGCCATGGAAGGACCTCTGAAACATCGAGCCCCTTCCGAACCCAAACTGTCTCTTGTTTCAGCGCCTTGACTGTACCAGCAGCGGAGCAGCCCTGGGCCCACCAGGAGCAGCCGAGCTGCACCGCGCGCCCGGGCCGGGCGAGACGCTGAGCGACTACGAAGCTCAACGCGACGCCCCCTCAGCGAAATCGCTCACGGCAGGTTCGTGTCGAGACGAACTGCGCGCTGGTTCCTGACACCGCGTGAATCGTTCAACCTCGAACGATCGTGGCTCTACGTGAGTCCCACCAGGTTGGGGTCTAGGGCCTCTGTCGAGAGTTTGGACGACGCTGCAAGTTTTTTCGTGCCGTCGGATATCAAAGGCTTGCCAGGCTCACCACCTGGCGGTTCGACAAGATCAAAACAACCGTTTGTTCACCAAAGTTCAACCTGTTGCCGCAAAAAAACAGCTCGGGATGGAAAATCGACCCAGGAGGTGTCGAGAGCCCTTTAGGGCACAGGTGGCTTAGCGCATTTCCTTTTCCAGACCCCTTCTTCCCCATCGGATAACAGTGAGTTACCCCTCCCCCTACCCCCTTCCCAGGGGTCTGGAGGGGGGGGTCACGGGTCGGCCAAGATGGCCCCAAGAGGGCCACAGATAGCAAACGATTGCATCCAATACCGCACAAGGTAGCCCAAGATGGTTGAAGACAGCTCTCAAAATGCCCACAAGAAGCCCCAAGACCGCCCCCAGACGGCCCCAAGTAGCACGAAGCCTCCCAAGCAGGACCCCAAGAGGCCAAGATCCTAATAACCCGTTCGGCAAATCAATGTGGTGTGCCTTCTCGCCGTCTCGCTTCTAATGGTCTTCCGGAGCCCCAAGATGGCTCCAAGATGCCCGAAGAGAGCCCCAAGAAAAGCCCAAGATGGCCCCAACACGGCCCACAGAGCACCCAAGAGCGGCCCAAGAGTGGCTCAAGAGCGCCCCGCAAGGCGACTTTGGGCTCAAGAGGGGCAGGCGTAATTGAGCCCCCCCTTCGCTCGAAGTCAGAGTAAGTGAAAAAACATCGGTTGATTCAAAGATTGTGGCATATCGGGGACATCCTTGGGAGATGTCTGGGCCAATATGGCTCCAAGGTGGCCTCAGAGAGTCCAAGACGGCATGCAATCTTGCTCGAAGTATCCCACAATTGCTCAAAATGACCACGTGTATGCCTATGACCGCCTGCATGCCTCCAAGAAGCCCCAAAACGCTCCCAAAGACGGCCCCGAGTGGCCACGGAACCTCCCAAGGAGGCTCCCAAGAGGTCCAATTCTATCCCAAACCTGTGGGACTTGCAGTTTCGCCTTGTGGCTTCGGATGGGCCCTTGAGGCCTCAAGATAACCCCAAGAAGCCCAAGAGGAGCCCACGAGGGCCCCCCCGAAAGGCCCCAAGAGCGCTCAGACGCGCCCTAAGAGCGCCCAAAGGGGCCCCCCAAGAGGGCCTCAAGAGGCGACTTTCGGCGCTCCAGAGGGGCGGAGCTACTCATCAAAGGGTCCCTCCTTTTTTGATCCATGTCCTCCAAGATGGCCCCGAGAGGGCCCCCGGAGCATCCAAAAGAGCCCCAAGAGAGCCCCAAGAGGGCCCTAAGACATCCAAAACAGCTTCAACGCTGCCCCAAAGTGGCCCGGGTAAGCTGGCAAGGGGCTCCCGTCTCGAAGGATCCGCGAAAGCATTCACGGTTGACTCCTGGGCCAGTTCGGGCAATTCCCGACCCTCGTATTGCCGGCTGCGCCCCCTCTTTGTTCCACTGCGTGCTCCCACACTTCCCTGGTCAATGCAACTCGCCCGGGCATCGGTGCTGGATGGGATGGTGGGGATACGCGAAGCGTCAAGAACCAGCGCAGGCAAATCAATGTCGACCAGTCGCAAGCGTGCAGCCTCGAACGGGGTCTCTGCCGCGTCGACCCGACGCGAAACCACCGCACACCGAACACTCCTCCTCCTCCTGCGCCTCCTCCTCCTCCTCGTCCTCCTCCTCCTCCTCATCATCCTCCTCATCATCCTCCTCCTCATCATCATCATCACCATCATCATCACCATCATCAACATCCCCATCATCGTCCTTATCCTCATCCTCCTCTTCCTCCTCCTCCGCCTCATCATCATCATCATGCCTCCCTTCTCCCCCCTCCATTTTTTGCCACCACCATACGCGACCATTTGCCTCTACGAAGCAAACATGAAAGCCTTGAGTCTGCGGCATGAGGCGCGCTGCCACATGAGTGCGAAACGGGCAGCGGAGGAGGAGGAACAAGAGGAGGAAGAGGAGGAGCAGGCGGGGGAGTAAAATGAGCAAGCCTCCAAACACTCCAGGACCAGAGCACTGGCCAGCGGACGCTGGCGGCAACGATAAGGAGGACGCTGCTGATGAAGATGACGACGATGATGGTGGTGGTGATAATGGTGATGATGATGACGGTGATGATGGTGATGGTAATGCTGATGAAGTTGCCGAAAACGATGACGATGGCAATGGTGATGGTGATGATGAAGATGCTGATGGTGATGACCCCCGCGGCTGAAGGGGTCAGGAGCTCCTAGCTCGTCCTGCCCCTCGGACCGAGGCGTTTCCCTTTGGCCTTGCGGAGGCAACGCCCAGTCGCGTGCGCCTCGGCGCACACCCGCAGATTCGCCTGAGTGACGAGAGCAATCACCCGCCCCAGCCGAGGCAAGCGGAAGAACGACCCCGCGCAAACACGGCGACTCAGCTCACGACGCCCGCGAGCTGGTACGGGGCCTCGAGTGGGACCCCCAGGAGGATGCTGGCCGCTGCGAGGGCGGTCCGAGAGGCGGCCCCCGCATCCAGGAGCTCGCGCGCAGACTGGAAGCCTGCGCCGCCGCCATGGCCGTCGTACACCAGCCTGTCCTCGCACACGCTCGCGTCCGCGCCCAGGCCCAGGCCGACCTCGCGTTTGTCCTGGCCGTCCGGGACCTCCAGCCCGCCCTCGAAGAAGCCCCCATCCTCGCCCAGGTCCAAGCCGAACTTGCGCTTGTGCATGCCCTTCTGGTCCTCCAGCCTGTCCTTGCAGAGGCTCTCGTCCTCGCCCGAGCTCGCACCCCCCCCTCCTTTTAGGGTCCCCCCTGACTGGGCTCCCCAAGGACGCCGCCGCGCCCCGACGCCAGCCGCTGGGAGGGGGCTCTCATCCCAGGGGCTTCGACCACCCACGCGTCCGCGGCCCTGGAATGGGGCTGAGCTCGGTCAAGGGCTTCGGCCACCCGCACTTCTGCGGCCTTGCTCCAGAGCTCGCCTCCCCCCCCCGTCTGGGTCTGCCCAGAGGACTCCCCAAGGACGCCTCCGCGCCCCGACGCCGACGAGGAGCCTCTCCCTCCTGGGGCTTCAGCCACTCGCGCATCCGCGGCCCAGGGTGAAGGCTGGATGGTCGAGGGCTTCGGCCACCCGCATATCTGCGGCCTCGCGCCAAGGTCCATTGCCCTCCTTTGGGGTCTGCCCCTGTCTGGGCTCCCCAAACACCGCTGCTGGCCCCAGTTTCCGCAGGTGCCTGATCTCCCTAGGCAGCCACGCCCGCGGCCTGCCATCCAGAGGTTCCAGCTGCTCGTTGCCGTCCTCCACGACAGCGTCGACGCAGTCCTTGAAGCTCACAGCGAGGGGCCTCGAGGCCGCCGCGCACCGCCTAGCGCCTGAAGTCATGGCGCCTCCGGGCCCCAGGCGGGGCCCCGCCGCGGCCCAAGCGAGGCCTGCTCTCGAGGCGCCAGAGAAACCGCATGAGGGATCCGCGAGGCGTGCCAGGCGGCGTTGCGCCGCCTCCGAGCGTCGCCATTGCCAAGCATCTCCCGACCGCGCGCCGCTGCCACTATTGGGGCGCCTGCGAGAAGCTATTGAGAAACAGCTTGAGCCAAAATGGCTACGAATGATGATGATGATGATGATGATAATGATGATGATAATGATGATGATGATGATGATGATGATGATGATGATGATGATGATGATGATGATGATGATGATGATGATGATGATGATGATGATGATGATGATGATGATGATGATGATGATGATGATGATGATGATGATGATGATGATGATGATGATGATGATGATGATGATGATGATGATGACGACGCCACGTAGAAGGCGGGCTTCCTGGAGATCCTGCCCTCCCCGAGGAAGAGGACGCCGAGGAGGAGGGAGGCCCCCCCCCCCTCCATTCTGAAGACGGCCTGGCAGATGAGCCGCGACTCGGGGTCGATGACGTCCACGCGGACGCCTCCCCCTCCGGGCGCGCGCGGCCGTGGTGTGCCTCCACTCCAGCCGGGCGGAGCTCCGGGGGCTGCGGCAGGAGACGAGGAGGGAGGGGGGGCAAGAAACAGAGCCACAGGGCAAGAGAGAGGGAGGGAGACAGAGGAAGAGGAAGAGAAAGGCAAGTGCATAATTTCACGCGTGAATTCACGCGTATGCGTTCAACATAAACCATCGCGCGCGCTTCGCGAGCGCTCGGGCTCTAGCAGGCCCGAGGCCTTGACGAGTTCACTGCTCCACTGAAGTAGTGGACCACAGTCCACGCATGTCAATCCGCATTCCAGAAGGCTTTCGGGAAGATGGTTGCGCAGGGGGGCGGAGGCCGGATGAATCGGGTTCCCAAAAGGCCTCCTGGGAACATGGGTTTGGGGGGTGTCTTGGGGAGCCTGTTGGGGCGTGCCGTCGTCGTCGTCCTCGTCTTCGTCGTTTCGTCGTCGTCTTCTTCGTCGTCGTCATCGTCGTCGTCGGCGGTTCAAAAGGGCACTTGGGCTAACTTTGTGCGAAACGATCTACGGGGGGCCGCGAGAAAGCGATCAGTCATGTTCCCAGTCAATTTCCCAGACAACTCTCCAGTAGCGTGATGGTACTCCGTAGCCTCCGAAGACTCTCGAACCATGTCGCCGGAACGCTTTCTGGGAACATGATTTGTTGGGTGTGTTGGAGGGCCTCTTGGGCGTTCCCTGGGAGCCTCTTGGGGGCCTCCGGAAACTCTCGGGCCTATGATGAACCTTGTCCCCGAAAGGCTTCCTGTGGACATGACTTCTTGGGGTGTGTTGGGGGGCCTCTTGGGCGTTCCCTAGGAGCCCCTTGGGGGTCTCTTGAGGTTTCCTGGGGGCCTCTTGGGCGCCTCACGGGGCTTCGTGGAAGCCTCTTGGTGGCCTCCAGGGGCCTACTGGGGGCCTCTAAAGCCAGAGACCTCGAAATATCGGTCGGCGGTCCCCCTCTGGGCCCCCTCTTTGGGCGCTCTTG